TCTATAGCTATTGTTTTGGGGAGATTTCTCTTCATTAGGAAAAATCCAGTAAACAGTGTCAGGTTAAACACAGCAGCTCTGTCGAGCTCAGTTAGGTTTAACGTTAGAGAGTCAGGATTCAAGCTGCTCTCAGAGGCTGACAATCAGCAGACGACCCTGACCCCTGCTCTCCAAACATGTCAAATATGGCCGACATGGCACTGAGCTCCTCTTTGTGTCTGCTGAGGTGTGAAGAGAGCACCTCCACGCCTCACAAGCCTCCTTAATATGAGATGGAGCATCTCCATCCAATCAGTTTTACCACATCAGCTATGGATTTGAGGCACGGCCCGGGAATCCTGTCTAATCCCTCTAATTCTTTCTCTGCTCTTAATCCCTTTTTAATTCAAGTCTCTGTGTGACTTACAAGGAGTCAGACCTGAAATCCAGGCGGAGGATTCAGTCAGCAGTCTGCAGACCTTTTCTTCTTATAAAACCTGTTTCAGAGTGAGGAGGAGGAGGAGGAGGAGGAGGAGGAAGAAGAGGAGGAGGACAGAGGAAGACACTTGGGGTTTAGGATGGGCATGTTGTCTGTCTGAAGGATAAAGAGAGATGCTTTTAGTCTGAGTCTCTGCTGAGAAGAAGAGGAGCAGATCCTGAACTGAAGCTCTGACCTCAAATGTTTTTGTCGATTCATCATCTTCGGGGCTATCCATGTCCGTTAGAGGTCTTGACCTTCACTTTTTGAGGGTCTGACTGTTTAGTCTGACCACCAATCTGCTTGGATCATCAGTCCATATACTGACAGGACAGGACAGGACAGAGGTCAAAAGTTGGGGGGAAGAAATGAGGAAAGAGAGAGAGAGAATAATGGTGACTCATGAGGAGTATGTCCGTCAGCCTTCATAGAGAGAAGCAGAGAGTTTATACTCTGAAGCAGCCAGATATGAGTTTTTCTAACTAAAAAATTTACTTTTTTTTCTGTCCTTCCTGAGTTTTGGTTTAGGATTCAACAGGGGAACTGGTTCAGAAAAGCGATGGTCCTCCAGGTCCAGGATGTGTGATGACTCAAATCAAGGCTCTGTAAAAGAAAAAGTACAAAGATAAAACACAGTTAGTAACACAGTTCAAATTAAAAATGCATATTTGCTCACGCGGTAACAACAATCTACACCAATGGTGAGGTATAACTGCTGAAGACTGAACTCATAATTCATTAGCTTAATGCTAACACATACAGTAAATTACTGTGAACAGGCTAAAAGAATTTACATCACAATGATGGTAGTTGAAAGTCAAAAAATGATCTCTTATTACAATAGATATAAGCAACAGAAACCCTGACCCTGACCTTGCTGTGAGCTGGTGGAGTTTTGTCCATAATATCAGCTCTTTCCATTCTGCATCAAACGTCTTCCTGCCCACCCTAATCCCAGTGAGATGACAGAAGAGTACCTGGCTGGACCTGGCCTGGAAATATCATCCTACCAGCCAAAATTGTTCCTTGTGTGTCCTTTTCACAAACTCTAAAAAGTCAACAGACTTAGAGAGTACGGTGTGGACACATCAGAGGGAGTGAAGTTAATAGAAAATTGTAGCTTTGATGCTCAAAAACGTCTGTTCTCTGCACAGTTATAAAATTTAATATAGATAAATAAATAAAACATGATACTCTATATCATGCAAGTGTCAGATATTTGAGAAATTTCAGAGTGAATCAGAGTTTTTGGCCGGTCTCTGCAGTCCTGTCCCTGTGTGAGTCCCTCTGTTTTTGGGCTGAAGTTAAACAAATGAAAGAGCAGCTCAGGCTGTAAATGTAGTGATCAAACTAAAAAAACAGGATCCACATTATGACGGCTGTTACTGCCCCTCAGCTTCCAACCACAGGCAGCCAGCGTACCTCACCTCACCCACCGCAGAGCGATAATCAGGCTGACCGCCGCCGCCTGGACTACACTCTGCAGGTCTGCTCTGCTTTATGGTACATGGGGATCGCCAGCGCCCACAATGTGCTGACAAATCATCTACTCTCCTCCCTCTGAGGTGCCCCCTTCCCCCAAGCTTACAACTCACCCACAATTCTCTCACCCCACAAACTCACAATAAAAAGTAATATGGCCTCTCGGGAAATCAAGCTGACTTAAGCTCTACGACGACTCCAGCTCCAAAAATTCTGTTGTGCTTTCTGCAGGACACAGTCCACCCCACTCTCCCTCCCCCTGTCTCAGTCCTTCTGTCCTGCTCATTAAAACTCACCCACTCCCCTGTTACTCACAGACATGCAGCTGCAGAAAGAGTGTGGTACATGGATGAAAGCATGAGCTGTACCTATAAATTAAATAATCCATCTTTTTGGGACCCCCCTCACAGCAGACCTCCACCTTTATGAGTGAGCCCCTCTCAGTGAAGCCCCCTCAGTCTAACCCAACACTTCCTAACCCTCAGGGATGTTTTAGGGATCGATATACCTGAAAAAGACCAGCAGTGATTTGGTCCCATGTAATGTGCTGTAATGAATCTGCTGCTGGTTGCATTAGCTATGAACAAAAGCAGGAGGATCAATGACTCCTCCATTATCAGTGCTGATTTACATCCATAACCCCGATCATTACACTGATGGGAGGTGATGATGACGGCCAGGTTCAGAGAGGAGGATGGTGCTTACATGACAAAACAGACCGCCAGGTGTTATCGATCACAGAACTGAGAGCAAGTCATCACATTATGAAAGAAACGTCTACACCTGATATATGCACCCTGAAAACGCTGATCAAGTTAAAGAGCAAGATATCCTCACACTGACAATACTTTCTCCACTAAAGGGGGAATTAGACACTTCTACTAGCTTAGACAACCGTTCAGACCCTTCATGATTACCTCTTGTTTTTCAGATTTCATGGTAGTATGAGTCAAGGCTGCACCACCAGTGATCAGGAGGGTTCCGTCTTCACACATGTACACAGTCTCCAGTCTGCATCTAGAGTTATAGATACAGAAAATAAGTGTCTGTCTCTGCCTTAGTGGACCTGTGACATACACTGCACATACACTGCTTATATCCGTGGTGTTAGGCCTGGAGAAAAATGACCACTGTGATGCTAACCGACATTTCAGCTCTCACACCTTCTGGGTCTGCAGAGCGGTTTTAGCAGCATAGTCAGCATTAAAGTGTCTTGTCTGTCTTCATCTAAGAATAACTTTAAGAATAACTTCATTAATCCCCAAAGGGAAATTTAATATTCATCTGGGTCATAGATACATTTCTAATTTCAAACAAAAATGAATCTTCCCCCACACCAGGTAGAAAAGCTGCTTTTAGTATTAGGCACTATGGCTAACTAAATAACTGACCCTACAGGCTACTAACCATGCCAACACCCTGACAAGATCCCACTGAGTCGATAGAAAAACAGCAGTGTTAAAGCCACTTAGATTGTCTGTGGTGCATTCAAGAAATTGGAAAAGGACATGATTGTGGACTCTGGACCAGAATCAGGTTTACTGACAAAGAGGTTTACACATAAATGTAATTCATGAAACATGTTTAAAAAATGAAAAAGAACTTGTAAGATCCTGACACTCCTCATGGAAGACTACGAATCAGTACAGAGGTTGACTTGTCCACCTTTCAGGCTGTACTGTTGAGATGATGGACAGTTGAGAGCTGTGGGTGGGCATGGCTGTCATGCTCTACACCAACACGTCCACAGCAACAAGAGCAGAAATTACTGCTTATTTGTTCACGATTTTAGCTCCTAATTTTATGCACTTAACAATGTTTGTAATTGTTTGAGTTTGGCTGTGACAGCCTCACCGAGTTATCTGTTATTCCTTTAGTGGGAACTAACTAGCTGCAGCTTCTTTGAAAAACCAAGCAGAACTTCTTGCTGTCTTTTCATGTTTTTTTGTTTTTCTTTTCCTTACTCACCTGTCTAAATGAGACTGTGTTTGTGAGCCAGCCCTCAGTTTGCTCTTCTCTTTTTCCATTTCAAAATAAAATAAAAACACACCTTCAGGGTGCTGTTCATGTTTATATTTTCTTAAATTCAAGTTTTAACAGTCCAGCCCCCCAGCCTCTTTCCAAAAATGGGAGACTAGAATCCCCCTTCAGGTATCAATAAAGTTAATCTTATCTTATCTTATCTTAGCAGAGAGACTAACTGGAAACATCAAAGATATCATCTGGATTGAAATCATCAATGTCCAGTCAAATTTACCAGAATATTTCCAGCAACACAACAAAATAATGAATCTCTGAAACTCCTATAGTGTAACCCTAACCCTGTAGTTTAATAATTATTACATAGATTGAAGGTGATTGAAGTCAATGTATGAATGACTGGGATATACAAGAAGTGTATAAAAGATGTGTGCACTCAGCTCAATGACTTTGGTCTGAATTAGTAAGAGACTTTTTAAATTTGGGATAGAGCTCAGGAAACAGAAATATGAGTGATGTTTTGCTGTGCCCTGTTTAAAGTGTGCAATGTATTCATGACTGCATTTGTGTTCTGATCTGAAAGCTAATATGAATAAATATTTTAGGGGAATTAACTCTGTAAGACCCATACAGCTTTTAGTCTGACGGTTCGGCTGTCCTCTGCTGCCCCCTAGTGTCAAACATGGAAGTCACAACAGAGGGTGCAGAGAAGCCACTTTTCAGTGATTTTTTACCCCAAGTACCATACAAGTGTCTCTCAGTAAAACATTGAAGAAAATATTTTTTTTGTCATGATTTGATCTACAAAGAGTTAACTAAAGCGCTTCTTGTCTTAATTCTGATGATTGCCGCTAATAGCTGGTGAAACTCAGAAATAAGGGGCTGTGGGCAGGAGCCAGATCCTGCTCTTAGTTTTGACAATCCTCTCAGGGTTGTGCTTATCACTGCTGTTCTCAACTAAAGAAAAGCAATTTTGGTGTCGTTTTTTTACCTTTTTAAAATCCTAAACTTTAATTCATCTCTGCTGTTTAATAATAGCAAATACAAAATAAGTATTCATGAGATACGAGACAAGAAGCAGTGTCGGTAGAGGACAAGATCAAACTTTATGTTGTAAGAAAGGCAGTGCTGATTATTCAACGAAAAAACATCAAACAAATATGATGTTTGGACATGAGATTGTATCAGCTACAAGGTTTGATAGGAGCTCTAACAAGCTGCAGGAGCATCAGAAAGAATAGAAGTGCTGTTTGATGCTATTCAAATGTATCTGTAGTCTCAGAGGTCCTTATCAAGTCTAATGGACTCTCAACAAGGTAAGTTCAAATGAGTTAGCTGAAAGATATTCAAATATTAAGGTAAACACAGAGCACTCATCAACAAAAACACCAGTCTTCCATAAGGGCCACATCAGAGGGGTGAACGTTTAGTCCATTTGTTAGTAAGGCAGCATCAAAATAAAATCAGTGGTTAGAAACAGAAAACCCCACTCCTATTCATATCTGCGTCATCTGAAACAAAAAAAATAAAGAATAAACTTTTAGTAGTTTGTGTTACATGATACATGAAGGAAAGATGATTTACAGACTGTCACTTCAGCGTGTCAGAGACACTGATCCTGGTTTTGATTTCTTGAATCTATCAGCTGACTCAATGTCTTGTATTTGACAAATCCAGAAATATCCTGATAATATTTAATCCTAACAGAGCTGCAGTATCTGGACCTCGCAACACCCAGTGGATCTCCAGGAGACTGACAGGATGGGTTTGAATGATTTCTTTCTCTTAGTCTGATCACATGGAGTATGATTGATTCAGGTCTGAAATTATTTGTTTCCATTGTCAAAAGTTGGTAAAAGTACCAAAAGTAACCAAGCTGTACTGTGTTTATCAGGGTCCCAAGCAAACTGGCTGGACCCTGAACTGCAACGATTGACAAGGAGTAAGGGAGGGAGGGTTGATACTGGCTCATATCTCCTAAGTTTATCTAAAGCTCAGATTAAGCGCTGAGCAGGATATGTCTTTGGCTTGTTAACCATACGGGATTCAACTTCAAAATAAAAGCCTCGTGTGAAATCAGGTGGAGGCTTTTGTTTAAAAAAAAAAAAAAACACTCCTCCCTGTTTTATGAAAAGCTAAGGCAAGGAGAGCAGCAGCAAACACTCCCAGGGTAGGACTACAGAGTGTTTTTAATGCTCCTGACATAAACAGAACTGGTACAGAGTCACGTTTGTCATTCTAAGTGTATTTTTGGCTGATGTTGATGCAGTTTGCTAGAATAATTAAGTTTGGTGGGCTGCTCATGCTAGAAGTCTGAACAGTCCAAACTGGACTGAAACAGGCCTGATCTCTTTTGGGGAGGGGGGGGGGGTACCATTATTAGTGTCTTGACATCAGAACAGGACATCTCTGCAGTCTGTCAACGTCAGCCCAGCTTTGTAACACTGCAACACAGTCTTAGAGATGAAGGCTGAATGTCTATTGTGTGGATTGGTGGCTTCTGTTGTTGTCTCATTTTGCAGAAAAAACAGATGAATGAAAGGAGCCCCATTTCATACTCCCACCAGTTTTGCGCTGTTATGTTGATTGAAAGTGAACTTGCGCTATCTCAAGTCATGAGAGAAAGAAACAAGCGTGTGAAAAATATTTGGTGGTACAACAAAACAGGAATGAGTGATTGTGGTTGTGCAAACCGAAAAAAAAAAAAGAAAACTTCTCCTCTTTCTGTTTCACTCTGATCAAAGTCTTCATACCAGTCATTTTGATTCTGATTGGACCATTTTGAAAGATTCTCATCTGATCTGTTCATTTAAACCCATTTAGTTTAACTGAGACTTTGTAGATGATATAAAAAAAGTTGTATCTATGTCTAACAATCAGAGCTGGTGTATCAGAGAGTCTGCTACAGCAGAGGAATGTGGAAATCAGCTGTTATTGCGCAAACAGAGCACAGCAATCTATACACATGGAAACAGGCTGTATAAAATCTAGTGCCAGTATATAATCAGTGAGGTATATTTTTGATGGGGAAAACCACACAGTCTGCAGGTTTGTTTTGCTCGTTATGAACTCTTCTCCTTCCTCCTCCGCTTCCTCTCTTTAAAACACTCCAGGAATCAGCCGGTAGGGCACGGCATCCGTGTAGCGTTTCCAGTCCTTCCCATACTTGCTGCTGCAGCGATGCTCGTCACGCACACAGCGATGGACCAGCAGGATGGTCATGTACACGATGTAGAAGTATGGGAGAATGTGTCCAAAGCCGCAGGCCGCGCAGTATGCCAGAGAGCCCATCAGGTCCCCGGTGTAGTTGAAGTGGCGGGCCACGCCCCAGAAACCCGAGATCATGAGCTTGCTGTGGTGAAGGCCGCCATCAGCGGAGTGGTATGTACACTCGATGTAAGATGGTTTGCGGCCCCAGATGGTGCAGGCGCCCTCGGTGCGTCTGAAAAGATCCTTCTGGTGGTTGGTGGAGCGAAAGATGTAGTAACCAACCAGGCCGAGCAGCAGGACCGCCAGGGCATGAGCATCTGAGAGCTGGACTGGATGGTAGACCAGGTAAAGACCCTGAACAGGAAAAACACAGTCATACATGTGAACACACATGAAATACATATTTATATTATGATGGAATAAGTTAGTAAAAGAGCATCATGTATATATATATATATATATATTTTTGTCTTTTATTACTTTAACACAGTCTATGTGTCTGAGCTCAGTGACTTCCTCTGAACCAGCCCTGTGTGCAGGTCAGAAATCAAACCTAACTAAGTGAACCATCTCTGTGCCCAGGACTCCATTTCTTTTTATTGCTGTGGTATCAAAACAAGGTAACAACAAAACAACTAAAGATTTATATCACCTACATTTATATATCATGTTACTATTGTCAGAGTTTAAGTTTCTGGTACTTTCACAACCCTTCTGCACGAAGGGAACACTGTACCAGCAGAGAGGTAACAAAAGCGTTACTCTGTGTACAACGTAATCTGTCCTGTGTATATGTTACCTGCAGAGTGTAGAGGTAAGGCAGCCAGACGCAGTCCCCCCAGCCCAAATACCATCCAAAGTGGTCGTGACAGATATCGATGGTCTTCAGGTACCACGCCTCATTCCAGAAGAAATCCAACACATAGATAGCCTACAAGAAAAACACAGACCAATCAGAGGACACAGTTTACAGTAAGGAAAAGCCAAAGCAGGGAGAGCAGCAGTAAAAACTCCAGGGATACAGAACAGCATCAATGACCGTCCAAATGACACTGGTAAAATTGGACACAGCACAGGGCTAGAGGAGGGTTGCAAAGCGCTTTGTAGAGGATGAAAGGAGAGTCAGCAGGCTGAAGATGTTTAAATGAAATGATCATTTTCATGTTTGACAGTAGGATGAAGGGAAGGTAATCAGCTGAGCTGTCAGCTATTATGGGCTGGCATTGAAGGTAGGGTTGTAATCACGGCAAACAAGCAGGAATTTGAAAGTAGTATCTCCTCAGGACTTTGTCCATAACCTCTCCCTCAATGCCCCTGCTCACATGCATGCGAGCTGCTGTCTGCTGATTCAGAACAACAGACGCAAGGTGTGGGACTTAAAATTGGAAATCTTTGCACAGCAGGGACAAAGAAGGTAACGTTAGCATCGGGATGACCACATATATAGCAACATGGCTTAACACTTGACCAAGATTAAAAATCACCCTGGAACAAAACCCTCAATGTACCTTTCCAACAAAAAATGAGCAACCATGGCATCACTTTTAAAGCTTTCTTTTAAAGTTCTCTGAATTGCTGAAAAGCTGTCCCGATGTTTACTTCCGTTTTTGCCCTCACTTTCTCCAAACTCTGTCCTGCTTCGGCCTTCTCTGCCTCCATCTTTCTTTTCATGCTCTTTTTTGCAGGAGGAGAAGTCACCATTAATCTGGGCATAGGTAGCTTCTCTGCCATTCTCCAGCGTGGCTGTATCCCCCTCAGCTCAGCTTTGCGCATTGAATCTGGGCCTGTGCACGCTGCCAACATGTACACGCAGGAAACGAGCACGGGATTTGATTGGTTTATTAGATTGGTTTAAAAATGTGGGACCCACACGATGTGACTGGTTGGTGTTTTCCAAGTTTTTCTCCTGCTGTAGACAGCAGCTATGTTTTGGACTTTTTTAAGACCACATTATGTACTGATCGCCATCGTAACATAAACATAATTTTGACCAGAATAACAAAAAGTGTATCTAAATCAGATTACCAACTCTACCTTTAGGTTTGATTATCAACTGTGTGCGGACTCAAAGACTGACTTAATGGCGTACCTGAACTAGCACTACACTGAATGTATGATCAGGGATCTCAGTGAAAACCACCACCCATCTCACACACTGCTGCCTGTCATCATATTTGACACTAGATGCCACTGTCCTGAGCACTCTCCTGTTTGTAGAGCTGGTGCACACGTTTTCTTGGTCCCTGATAAATACTGATTCGTACCCACCCTCAGCTCACCTGCAACAGGTTGACCAGGATCATGGAGTTGGTGACATGGCCGTACAGCTCTTGCTGTTTAGCCATGTAGGACAGGTTAATAAGAGTCCAGGCTACAATGCCCGGTCTGCCGTTGAAGAAAAGCTTGAAGTCAAACCACTGACCAATGCGAGGGTTGAACTCGATGCCCATCATATAGTTGTAGAAAACATTCCCGGTGAACTTGCTGCAGAAGAACAGACGGTGGAAGAAAAATGGTCCTTACATTATCACCAAAACTGAGTTCATACTTATGGGCACTGCTGAGAAAAGAGGAAGAACTAAAACCAGGCATTATCACACATCAGTGACAAGCAGGTCCACAATGTGGAGCTCCAGCACTCACCAGTCTTCAGAGTTTGTTGGGAAGTAGTGCGCTTTGATGAAGGCAAACGTGGACACAGTATAGCCCAGTATGTTCATACACCACATGAGGGGGATCCAGTTATCAAAGATGATGGTGGGAGAAAACCAGTGGAAATACTGGGCATTGAGAAACCAGAGAGCATGAGTGATCAGCCAGCACTGCAGCCCGTTGATCTCGTACTTATTAATCAGACCTGCAGCAGCAAACAGGGAGACAGCACAGGAAGACAGTGTCAGGAGCTGTTGAGACTTCGGAGTCAATTGTTTTGAACACTTAATGTGTTATTCGCATGTTACCTGCAGGAGTTCGTGCTCCATCTTGTACTCCACCAACATAACCAGGAATGAATTTGTGAGTAAAATCAGGAACACACATGTACAGGAACACCTGAAGGACAACAAACTGTTACCTGCTGATACCATCCAAGAGGAGGACTGCTGACTATGAGTAGACGAAGGAATCTAACTTAGAGTCAGAATTTAATGTATAGTGCAGAGGCAGCATATCAAATGTTGCTGAATAATGTTGTTTTGTTGAAGATAAATGCGTATTTGACTTTTACAGAAGTTGGAGCAACAAACAACATTGAAACAAACAGTGTCATCACTTCCTAAAACCTGTGACCATCACAAGTCTTCGCAGTGTCCACAAATGAGGTTCAAACTGAACCGTATAAAAAGGAAACCAGAAACCAATGTGATCAGAAACACCAGGGACTTCTCTGGACCTGAGTCTATTTAAGATGAACTGAGGGGAAGAGGAAAACTGTCATGTGGTCCGAGAAATCTGACATTATTTTTCATGGACATGATGTAAAAAGCTGAGGGACCACCCAGCTTATTATCAGCTCACAGTTCAAAGCCAGCATCCCTAATGGTTTGGCTTATAGAAACAACATGAAGCTCATGAGGGCTGAAGCTTTATGAACCGCAAAGTATAATATATAAAAGGAACCAATAATTAAGAACATCTGACTGCAATTAACTGTCTATGGACTGACCACCACAGACAGTTTCTGTAGCATCATTTGCTTTAGCACTCATCATTCTCACCTGGAAAGCCACCCAGATGGCGTATATCTTAGCAGCTGTCCAGGTGAAGGAGGGCGCCCGGGCCCAGATGGAGAGCAGTGTGGCGTCGCCTCGGAACAGCTCAAACAAAGGCTGGCTGATGGAGCACTGGTACTGATCACAAGCCATCACGAAGTAGAAGACGATGAAGGGAGCAAAGCAGAGCAGGCCGATCACACCGATCAGGGAAAACCAGTCCACCTCCCTGAAACAGGGTCAGATATACAGACTGGTACATCAGGTGAGGAAAACTTTGAGTCTTAACAAATTTTTTTTCAGAGAGGAGTGAAGTTTATAAAAAATCCTGTTTATTTAAGTCATTGTTTCCACACAGGACTTTTACTAAACAAGGATTTTGCGAATGAGAAATAGAAAGGCTTTGTGTTTGACCTTTAAAGGCTTTAAGTGAAGTGTCATGATCAGCAGTTTGGGTTTTGTCGTTGTGCAGAACCTCTCTACCTGACGCTTAATAATACTGAGCAGTAAAGGAGCTCATCATAATGCAAACACAGCTTCAGCTTCCTCAAATACACTCTGCAGATGTCAGTTTCTCTGGCTCTAAAACCTGTTTTAGAGTGTCTCACTCAGACTGCTGCTGCGCTGTGAATTTTTTTGAGTGCAAAAGAGGATTTTTATTAACAGGACGGGGAACATAACTTTGACACTTAACAATTGATGTGTCTGATCAGCTGCTGGCTAAACACCAGAGCCTGTTTGTCAAGTTTCTAAAACCCAACTCTAACCACTCACTCACTTCCTCCCTACATAAGGAAAATCTCTGCTGTAGCAATAACACAACTGTATGACCTTAAACCACGATCTGGACTAAAAATCTAAAACACAAGCTCCAAACTTCTGGTACATAGGTCTTTTTTACATAATTCCAACCATACCAGGCACCTGGTCTGATCATTTTGTAAAAAACTGAGAGGGGTCTGGCTGTAGACCTCCAATGTGAGGACCCGCTCCACTGAGCAGACCAGACGTTGATTCAGGTGCACTGTGAGAACCCGCTCTACGAACGGATCGGAAGTTGATTCGAAGCCTTCCAAATTAAAAGTGATTAGACTGGGATTTTTTTTGTCTCGTGTGAATATACTTTATTTCTTGGGGCTTTTTTTATGTATATAATGTTAATATGATTTTTTTGTGTATTCATGTGTTCAACAAAGGGAAAATACAAAACGGGATGACCACTTGGAGGGTTATCATAAAGATAAAGAATAAAACCTAATATACAGCTATGATCACCTTAAAACATTACTTTAAACATAGTTTTTTTATTTGTTGTAATGCCTCTGGGTCTTACAATAAAGAAATGAAGGACACGCTGCTTCTGGAACCCACTGGTCTCTTTACTGCCAGCATTTTATGTATACCACCACTACTTCCTGTTCACGCATGATATCCTATATTCGCCACATCCTGGATTTTCTATGTTCTTCATCAGGGGGCGCTATATGAATACATCACTGTCATAGACCACAGCTCTCCTAGATCTGCTAGTGTGGAAATTATACTTGTATTTAATTACATCAGCAAAACAGACAGCTGTTAGTTCAATTTGCACAACAAATTAATTTAAAACAATAAATCTCTGTTAAAAGACCTAAATGTGTGTGATGGCATAATGTATCTACACTCCAACTGCTTACTGTCTCCAGCAAAAACAAACTGGAGTGCATTAGAAAAAACACCGCCCCGGGTCCTGACAGTGGAGGTCTGCAACGAAGGGTCCTGACAGTGGAGGTCTGCAGCCAGACTGTATGTATATTCAACACACACAAGTCAACAAGTTCTAAAGGTGGGTGAGATTAACCATACAGACAACTCAGGGTGACACAGATTCAGAAAGATTATTTGCTTCAATGCAGAATAAAGATAGATTCACATCAACAAGTCAGGCATTGTAAAAAGTCAAACAACAGTGAAAGATAATATACCTGACATTTGGCTCCGGCACACAGACATCGCTCTTTTTAAGACTTTTTAAAAGTGAGTCAACAACAATTATCACATAATAACCAACTAATGAATGGATCAACAGACCAACCAACCACACAAGGAAAAAAAAACTGACAGATCTAATAAGTGGGAAAAAAAACAGACAAAAAAAGGCCCTGCAAATGGCCTTCCAGAAAATAAAGCTGAAAAATAAAACCCACTGGATGCTGTTTTACTGTTTATAGGGGGTTCTTTTCAAGTGCACTCTAAATAACATTTTAATATTGCGTGCCCTCTGGATTCTCCATATGTAAAACAAAATATGGATGACTTTTTCAGAGAATTAAATTAAATTAAAAAAGTGCTTCTGGATTCTTTAACAGAGATTAAGTTCTGGAAATAGTGCCCTCTTAATGCCGTCCTACATGATAACATTTTAAAACTAACCCTCTTATTGCCACTGCAGTGTATGAAATGTTTTAAAAGGTGCTCTCTGGGTGCTCTTCCAGAGAAATTATGATGATGATCTGCCCTCTTAGTTGTTCTCTGCAGTTAACGCATTATTTAAAAGTCCTTCAAGGTATCCCACCTGAGGATAAAAGCTCATTATTATTATTATTCTTTAAGTAACTCAACTTGTGTAACTTTATGTGTAAACTACCGTGTCTCACTCTTCTTTACACATGGTGGGCGAAATATTCATGACATGGAGACATTTGTGGGTATTTCTTTAAACAGGGAGCAGTGTATGAGGAGTAAGTTTGTCATTTCACTTGTAGAGTTCCTCTGTGGTGTAGCTGTTGTCTCTGCCTTTGGTAAATTACAGCTGATAACACAATGACCATTAACCAGCTGTGACATAACACTCACCATGCTCTGCCCCACTGAGCTGTCTGCTCCTCCTCTTCAGCTCTTTTACCATTGGCACTGTGCGGTGTCCGTCTCCTGGTGGCCTCCATGGTCTCGACTCTGTTCACCTCTGCTGCAGAGACATTGGCAGTAAACTAAATTAGAGTACAAACACACATTTATAGAGAGAACAGCACACACACGCTCATATTTACATCTCTGGTATGTGCTGTACCTGTATGTGTAACAGCCACAGTGTCATTATAGGTCTGAGTATGAGGCATGTTTCCACAGGCCTCAGTTATCAAAACATAATGAGGTAACTGTGGGAATTATGTCCTTGGAGATGAGAGATAACATAGAGTGAAGGACAGCCTGATAAGCTGCACGCACAGAGGGGGACAGAAACTCCTCTTAAGTCAGATTTCCTTTTCTTTTTTCTGCTGCTCATACAGATAGAAAACTGCATTTCTGTGCAGCTGCAGACTTAACACACCCCCACACTGCAGACCACCTCTGGAGCCAAAGTAAAGCCTGTTGGAGCTGGAGCATTCACACCGAACTTGCACTAACAATAGAAATGATGAGCTTGGTCCTCCGTTTGTCCATCATTAGCTGGTTTTATTCTGCAACTGCTCCCTATGATGGACTCTGTACAGAGCCCCCTCCCCCTGTTGCATAACATAGACACAACACTTTCAATAGCAGTCATTTCTTTAAAAGATATAGAAAGATCACATTAACCTGAGTTACTGACCTGCAGCCTCATGCACACACGCTTTGTGATGCTTCTATATCATAAACCATCCAGAATAACCGGAAATTAACCCCCCGATCGGTAACTTAAACAACACGCAGACTTGTAGGCTCGTCGGTACTGTTAAAGAGCCGTCTGTTGAACCACAGACCGGGTTTTACTCACCGTTAGTTTGTAACTGCTACTTCTCTGTCTCCTTCTTCAGCCAGGTGCTGCTTCTCATGTAACCACTGGACTCGCCTCACCAGAGCTCCCCAGACTCCGCCCATAACGCCATTATGCATGAAAGATTTTTACCAATAGGATTAAAGAAAAGGCGGGCCCAAGGCGAGAGGTGGTCTGTGATTGGACAAAACCAACTGGAGCCACAAGCGTACGACTGGTTCCGCGGTAGATAGATAAGGGGTTGTTTCACCCATAGACTATACGGGTATCAATCAGTGAGAACAAGAGCAGGCAGACTGATGTCAAACTGCTGTTTTTAATTAATTAAGTATGTTTTAATCATTCATTATTTTCATTCGTTAAGAATTAGAAATGTAAATATATAAAAATAACAGGTTACTTAAAATACACCGACGTTACATTAACTTTACAATACAATAGCCTGCATCAGCCTCTCTGGAGTAACACTTCAATCAAACCCTGACCACCTACATGGTTTAATCCACTACTGCACCACCATATCAACATCTATGTATGTAGGAACTATATTAGAAACATGTATGTGTATATGTGTGCAACAAGTCTCAGTTTGGGGCCACAATGGAGAGAGTAAGTCACCTAACCTGCTGTAGCCTAAAGGTTTAGATATTGATGGGAATAGGATATTATTAGTCACTTTAAATGCTTATAAAATTATTCATCTGACTCCAAATACTCACACACCTATTTTCACACTGAATGTTGAAAGGGGGAAGGAGGAAAAGGAGACTGTTGACATTAAATTCAACAGAAGATTTATTTACAACGATCGAGAATAAAAGTTTCAATCTCAAACTACACTTCACTGACAGCCATGCAAAGCTGGGACAGTTCACAATGTCTGAACACCGTCTATTTATCCCTGAACCCTTTTTGTACATATTGCAAATTATTTGTGGGTGTCTTTTCTGTCTTCTTTCTTATTTGGGTAATTCCATTGTTAGTTGGTTCCCCTGAGGAGGGGGATAATTCAGATACAACAGACATTAATTTCACCCTGTATGCAGAGATAAATTATGGAGAGAGAGGGGTGAAAATAGGCCTGCCCCCAATTTGACCCTGAGTGACTTCCTGTGGTAACCAAATGTCAGACACTTCCCCTGCAACTGCACGTATTCTGAAAATAACAAGTCACATTTAGTTTCAATATCATGAGAAATTTTTCACACAGCTTGTTGCACTAGTCTTTGTAACCTACTACTGTACTGAGAATCCACTGCCCTCAGGAGCTTAAACCCTTCTTTACAAAGTCTAGTAAACATGACTGCAAATGAGCACATTTAAACATGATAAGCATTTCCAATACACTTCCAATAATACTATCAGTAAGATAATTCACACAAAATTAAGCCTGCGATATCATTCAATATGTGGTATCGGACATCTTATGATGTAAGATCACTCTATAAAACAGCAACTTTTCTAGAGATAACTAGATTTTAATTAATCAAATGAGTCATAACTGTGTTTTAGGTGAGCTTCATAAAGAAGAGACGCTGCATTTCTCTCTTTGTATGTCATAAATAATGTTTGTTTGATAATTGCATCACTTTCCAAAAACTATACACAACATCTTATAGGAGAGTAACTGTAAAGAAAAACCTATTAGAATAAAACAATGGTTTTATTTTAAATTACGGCCTGTTGTGAAGAGACAACCGCTCAGATCAGAAATAATAGTGGATAAAGGCACCTGCATAATGTGGTCAAAATGAAAAAAAATAAATCAATGGTTATTTTTCATTTCAGTATGTTATTGCTATTGAAGGTGTATTAACTAGTATATAGTATATTTTGATAAGGCTTTTTCTAATTTCACTATATTTCAAATCTCTGTGTTCCTTTTTTGTCATCAGCTGCAGTTACTGGTAGTATCCACTAGGTGGTGGTGCTGAGTTGTGGTACTTGCTGTGAAAAATGTAACAGGTCAAGTGAAACGGAGCGAGGAAATCCTGTCCAAGCATGGGTTTGTTTTTTAAAAATGTAGTTGTGTTGTAGGGGTTTAAGGACCCCGGGAATATGTCCTTCTAATCTAATTCGACTCTTTTTTTTATGACACAGCACCTTTTTTACATACTTACATGCAGCACACAAAATAATGGAGAAACAGAAATAACAGCATTATGGAAGAAACAAAAAAATAAAAAAATAAAAAAATAAAAAAATCAAGTGTAATATAAATAAACATAATGTTTGAATGTTAAAAACAAAATTAAAATTTAATAAAAGTCAATAAGGAAAAAATCACAATAAGTAATATAAAAATGAAATAGATTAAAGAATTAATAAAAAAGACAAATGAATAAATGAAAGAAAAAATAGAAAAATAAAGATAGGTTAATAAATAATCACAGTTTCAGGCAAAAAAAATGTATCATCATATCCATATTTTTTAAAAGCGCTTTATTAAACTTGGCACAGGTTGTTACCATGCAACACTCTAATAAGGAAGTTTTTATGATTATACTTAAGGTTTATTACTGGTCGTATGGCAGTTAATATATTTGTCATTTTGTGTTTTTCTTCCCCCTGTAAAAAATTGATTCCCTCCTCAGAGCATAAATGGTTTCATTTGTCCATCTTCTTCTTCTTCTTCTTCTTCTTCTTGTTCCTTTTCTTCTTCTCAGTGTGCATGTTGAAATTAATGTGCTGAAATGTGAACAGCTGATTGGAGGCACTTTTTCTTCACCTCGCCCTCTACTATTTGGAGTTAGGAAAAGCAACGTGTGGCTTTTGGTGCATAGTCAGACATTCCACCATCATTTTATTCTCTATATAAAATCAACACCATAACACACTTTGAAACACTCAGCTGAAGAGAAACTAAGCTGTGTGCTCAACGGGCAGGACTCTGAAACTTATTCAAGTGAAAGGTACATATATATATATATATTCACACACACACACACACACGCACGCACGCACACGCACACACACACACACATACACACACACACACACACACACACACACACATATATATAGATATATATATATATATGTGTGTGTGTGTGTGTGTGTGTGTATAAGAGGCCGAAGAGTTGGGCGTAACTTCAAGTTTTTGTTCACAATGCTTTTTTATGCTTAGTTTTAGGGTTGAAAACATTTGCAAGAGTCACAACTTCAGTGCAAAAGCAAAAAAAAAAAAATCACAGTTGGATTATTCACTTCAACTTTTTGGCTTTTGAGAGTCTGCATACAAAAATCCTAATAAATCTCAACTGCATTCAAGATACCTCAGAAATGGCTAGAAAGAAGCAACTGAGTAAAGAAACAAAAGTACAGATTTGTACATTGAGGAAAGAAGGATAAACAGAAAGAGAAATTGCACAACGCCTAAAGGTGTTTAACAAAGGAGTCCACTACACTGAAGAGACTAGAGGAACCTGGAAGTTATGATGATAGAAAAAGACCTGGACGAAAGAGAGTTACTACAAAAGCAGAGGATAAACATATCATTGTCACCAGTAAGAGAGATCGGCGAAAGACAGCAGCACAAATAAGGGAGGCAATCAACATGACAAGGTCAAAACCCATATCTCTGACAACCGTGAAATGAAGTTTGAGAAAGGCTGGTCTGAAGGGTTGTGTATCTGTGAAAAAACACTGCTTAATCCACAGAACAAGAAAAAGAGATATGAGTGGGCAAAAGCTCACAAAAATTGGACTTATGATGACTAGAAACAAGTTTGCACTGTTTGGTTCAAAACTCAGAGTCTATGTCCGCAGACAAACTGGTGAACGTCTGAAAGCACCATGTGTTACACCCACAATTCAGCATGGAGGTGGTAGTTCCATGGTATGGGGATGTTTTGCAGGTGATGGAGTAGGAGATTTGTTTGAAGTAAAGGGTATCATGAAGAAGGAACAGTACCACTCCATCCTCCAGCACCATGCTGCTCCATCTGGACTCAGACTTGTGGCTCATAAGTTTGTTTTGCAGCAAGACAATGACCCTAAGCACTCTGCCAAGCTCTGTCAGGGTTACCTAGACTAAAAAGAAGAGGAAGGTGTTCTTCAAAAGATGGTTTGGCCCCTTCAGTCTCCAGACCTTTCTCCAATTGAGCTTGTGTGGGATGAATTGGATTGATCGGACAGAAAGGCGCATCCCACAAATCAGCAGTCTCTTTTTAATGAACTTAAGAAAGCTTGGAATGCAATCCCTGGAACATACCTTAAAAAACTTGTGGAACGAATGCCTGGTATATGCCAAGCTGTTGTTAAAGCCAAAGGAGGCTACTTTAAAGAAAGCAAAGTCTAAGCAACAATAACTCAAATACCTAATAATTATAGTCAAAATGTCTTCTGATAAGTTACTCTTTACACAATAGTCATGTTTATTGTGTTGCAAAGTATATGTATATGAAACTATGATCTTTTGTTGTACAACTCTGATCTTGATTCCAAACTTTTGGCCTGTAGTATATATATATATATGTGTGTGTGTGTGTGTGTGTGTGTGTGTGTTTAAATGTAGAAAAAAAAGACTTATTATTGATCTGATTCTTCTCAGAAAGCAGCCTCTGTCAGCTGCACCATGAAGTAACCTCCACCTCTCTCTTCTTCTCTGGCTGGTTTTTCAGACATCCTTTGGTCTATTTATCCTTTCCCCTCTATTTCTATCTGTGGTTCTCCTTGTTTTAAACACTTTTCTTCATCTCAGCCTCCACAGTCCTCGTTCTGTTCCTCTCTGACTGCTGCTCTTTGATCAGACGCCGGGTTGCTATGCTGGATGCAGACAGTGTGATGTATCTGGGCCAAGCAGCAGACACGACTCCCTCACCATGAGTCTGAGACAAAGGAGACATTTTGTACCCTGATACCTCTTCTTACCTTCTGAAACTTTGGATATGAGGTAAAACAGAGCCTACTTGCTCTCAGGAGGCTCATTATTAAACACTTCAGCTAACATGTTTGACATTTTGGGATTCCAACAGATGTTTGCATCGTGCTCTGTTTCTCCTAGTTTGTTGCAGCAGAAGTAACAGAGTGCACACCTGTCACCAAACCTCAGTTTACTGCATTGTAACAGCTTCTAAATTCACATACACAAAGAT